TCGGGAAGTGTAACTCCCTTAGACTCCCTGAAGTGTTTTCCGCTTCTCACTTAGTACTCGGACTCGAACTCACTAAAATATTACTCACCTCAACAGGCTCAGAGTCACGGCTTGATCTGAGTCTGAGTGAGTACGGGTGGGTGGACTCTTGAGTTCGTATAGTGTCATGTTAATTGATTCATATGTAGGTTTTAACGTCACCAAAACTACCATAATATTATGACAGACGCCATAGTGCAGGGCTTCGAAAATTTCGATCACCTGAGGTTCTTTAACGTGACCCAAATCTGAGCACACGAGTCTACAGCATTTTCGCCTCCATCGAAAGTGCAACCGCCACCGGCGGCTAGCAGCCGAGTACCTTAGGCACTAGATCACCATGGCCGGGGCCCCTTATGGTGTACTGTCATATTCGCATAAGATCTACAATGTTCACTGAGATAAGAACATGGGCACACATAATGGCTGACAGAACACAAAAAAACTGCTTGAGCACAGAAATGGCCAACATAAGAGAGTATAAATACAAACCCTATCTCATTGCAGCGCAACACAGAAGAACTTTTCAGTGTTTCCTTAGACCCGGTAATTAGGGTCGCTCTATTGAGCTCAACTTGTTAGTGAAGAAAGCCGTAAGTGGCGACACTATAACTGAAGAGGTATAGCTGTTTCGAAGCAGGTGCAATTTTTCGTCGTAAGCGAACGCCCACAACCAAGTTCTTCTTTTTGTTTCCTTCAAATGACGTCTCAGCCTACGACGTCACAAAGCTGGGAGTGTTTACCGAGCAGCCAGTGAACGGCACGTATCTCACTACGTCAAAAGAGAGATAAAAATACAAGGAAATAAGTGCTGATCGCAGTTAAATACGTGGAGATACATTGCTCTTGTTCGCAGCACCACAAAGAAATACGACAGATCCACAGAAAGGTATTTCCGCATCAGCGCTTGTCGTCTGTGAAATGTGCTTTGTACGCGACGATGATTCAGCGTTCTAAAAGAATGAAGCAGAGTGCTGCCATGGTGTCTCTGATGCTGAAATCAGTTCTTTTCGAGGGCGAGCAACATCGCCGGTTCTGTATGGAGGGTCAAAATCTTCACGCACTAAAGGACCCTTAGTAAAGCCACGTTTGCTGTCAGTCGGTATTGACTTCCTGTCTCTCCCTAAATGATTGCCTCCAGCCTGCTGCGTTTAGGCGAAACAGGTTCAGCCTCTGTTCGCAGTTATCCATAGCCACTGCACCTATACACTGACCCGCAGCTGTGCAAGACTCTTTCCTGTGTCGAATTTCAGGGAAGAGTTTATGTATTACCGGCTTCGGTTTGTAAGAAAGATCGTTCGGAATGCTGGTTTAGCGGTCATGGCACGCGAGTGCTGACCCGAAGGTCGCAGAATTGAATATCGGCCACACTTTCGATGGAAGCGGAAATGCCTGAAACCTGTGTAGATTTAAGTGCACGTTAAAGAACCCCTGGTGGTCGAAATTTCCGGAGCCCTCCACTACGGCGTCCCTCCTATTCGCATCGTGGTTTTGGGACGTAAAGAGCCCCAACAATTATTTCTATACATAAAAGCTGCACCGTTGTTGGCCACTGGTCGAGCGCTATCTCGCACGAGTAGGAAGTGGCATTAGCCATGATAAATGTAGATTTATCAACGCGAAAAAACGAAACACTTAAGAGGAAACACACACGTTGCGCCAAATTCTTTTGTTGCTTTCACACGTGCCACGAAAAACGCCTTGTGTTCTAAGTGAAAAATAAGTTGTGAGTTAGAGCCGTGTTTGTGTGTGTGTGTGTGCTTCTTGTTAATTGTTTCCTTTTTTGCGATGGTAAATCTATCCTGAACAAGAACTAACTCGCCCAAGCAGCAGTTTTACATTAGCCATGAGGTCTTCTCTGAACCACACGTTGGTGCGATAAATCAAACCACTGATTTGACTGAAACGAATAGTCTCGTAAGCTTGAAAAGGCATTTCGTTCTCGCACACCTAAAAAGATCGCATCGCAACCAAATGATGTTCCACGTGTAAATTTCATATGTCCACAGCAAACTGGTGGCTACGTTTTGGCGGTCGTACTTGAAATCCGGCGTGAAAATGACTTGCAAATTAAAGTCGCTGAGGCAGCATGCAAGAGATGCGTAGGCATTGCTTCCAGTTTTCCAGGGTCCGCACAGGTCATTCCATCGCCGCATGTTCAACTGCGATAGGACTAGCTGCAAGGCGATTGTTTTCTCGCCGTATAATGCGTCAGCCATCGTCTAAGCTAGAGGTCTCCGAGTCAGCTGAGACAGGGGCCACAGTCACAGAATTTAATGCCACAAAGGCCAGGTGAGGGACGAAGGTCAGAGCGGAGAAGGAGGAGGGTGGGTGTTGTAAATACATCTTTTCTCGTACTTCATATAAGGGTCGTTTCAGAAGACACCTGGCCGATTTACATTCATCAACAGGTACCCTGGCCCAGAATGAGAAATCTGTACGCCGATTCTGAAAAATACTGTTTTTGCCTTACGGTATCGTTTCAACGCATGCATAATGCCCTCATGAAAACAATGCTTTAGACCAGGCATGATTGCGTAGCTCAAGCGCACGCGCTTATCATAAAAAATAAAAAAAGCAGGAGAACATAGCTACATGGCGGGACACGTGTTTGTCACCACTGGTGTAAACGAACTGCATCACTACAGGCCCTTTCACCACTACAAAGACTTGCGTAGGATGGTGCACGGTGGTCACAGTTTTGCACTTCGGATTGTTTGTCTGCCAGTCGAACACCAGTCTGGGTTACGTTCAACTCAACTCTATTGGTGTTTGGTAGGTTCAGAACGAATGAGAAATGTTCAGCCATACCTGAGAGAAGTTGTTGCTGGCATGTTTTCAGCGTTGACTAAGCAGTAGGGCTTAGAGACCGGCATAGCCGAAACCTTGTGAGATGGTTTGTCTGTCATAATAAGCGGCGGTACTGCTCGGAGTCGATTTTTCGTCCCTTATACAGGGGCCAGCAGTGGGCGTACGTGGGCTGTCAGTAGGATTTCCCCGGCCTGATTGGCAAGTAGACGAGCGAGTAGTGTTGTTCGTGCGTAACGAAGAGTATGGTGTGGTACATCATAGCATTTTTTATAACATGAGGGCCGATCCCAGAACACATTGTTTAGTAATATTTGCGAGAAGCAACGACATCAGTGATACAACGATCAGTGACTTAGCGGCTTTCTGTTCATGTGATTGCACAGATATGGCTGACAGTACGTATGATTATCGAAGCAAAACAGGTTAGCAGATGGCGATTGCACACGAGTACGCTCTCTGCGCTTGAGCACAATGCATGAAATATCGTTACTGCTCGCCTATATTGGGCACTGCCGTGCGCAGAGGTCGACGCTCGCGTGATAATATTGCAATTTCGGGCGTAGCCCTGAGAGCCCTTCCCCACGACTCTAAAGTTTGTCTGACTGACTCGGCCAAAAAGTTCAAGGGTATGAACCCTTGAACTCACCCTTGAACCCTTGAACCCTTGAAGGGTTCATACCCTTGAACCCTTGAGTTCAAGGGTATGAACCCTTCCGACGATATCTCGGAAGCAGTATCGATCGCTCTTCTCTCCCAATTATCATTTTCGCTGATCAAATCAAGTCACATTAGCCGCGACACTTTAGTTGAGCAATGCGCTTGCTGCTCGCGCATATGGTTTAGGAACAGCCACGAACAGTTCAACTCTAGATCACGTGCATCTTGTATTCTTATCTGTTTTCCGTATTTTATCGTAACGAATCTTGTTATACGGCGTGTTCCTGCTGTGTCCTTCGTGGCTGGTCGGCGAAGGACATCACTTTCTAATGGAGCTGACAGAAAAAAAGAGCGGCTGCCCAGGTAGGGCGATGGCATGCTGGGCGATTTAGTAAATCATTGTAGGGCACGTAGAAAAGTTTATAGAAATTGTCCGTAGTTCATATAGCCTAGACAACACACAATAAAGACATAATAAGAGCGGAACAAAGTTACACGGCTAGATGTTCTGGCTGATTGCTCTAAGGCACTCGGGCTGACCTCTTTTTGACCTTCGTCGGTTGTTTTCAAGTGTTGCTTGATTCGACTGATAACGCATGGCTGTGGGCGGTAAAGGGTGTAAAATGACAAAAAGCAGGATTGAGAAGCGTTGCGGACGTGCTGGTAGCATTACGAAGCGAGTCGAACAATGTTAATAATATTCGGGGATTCACATGCAAAAACGACGGTATGATTACCGATAGATAGGTGGGTGTGCGGGGTTTAACTTCCCAAAACCACCACATGAATAATGAAAGACGCCGTAGTGGAGGGCTCTCGAAATTTCGACTACCTGGCGTTATTTAGCGTGCGTCAAAATCAGAGCACACGAGCCTACAGCATTTTCGCCTTCATCGAAAATGCAGCGGGGATTCGATCCCGCGACCTGCTGTTGAGCAGCCGAGTACCTTAGCCATTAGACCACTGTGGTGGGGCGACGGTCTGATTACAAGGCATGTCGCTGTGGAAGGCTCTAAGAATTTCAACCATCAGGTGTTTTTTAAGCACGAACTTACATTAGAGGGCTTTTGAATGGCGCACGCAAAGTTAGCGGGCGCAGCGTTTGAGTATGGGCGCTTCACCAGTTTTTGATGAGAGTTTCTCTCACGCAAACGATCGAGTCACCACAAAGGGGCTTTCGGACCACACGCTATTTCGTATTTTTTTTTTGCGTGCGGACCGCAAACGCTAAACGCAGTTAGCGTTACGATGCACGCGAAGTGGCAGCGACCGCCACGGTCAGTGTTTGCGTACGCTACTCGAAAACTCTATATTGTACAGTACACGAGCCGCCAGCATTTTTCCGCTATGAAAATGCAACCACAGCTGTAAACATCAAACCAGCGACCTTCGGGTAATCAGCCGAGCAACGTAACACCTTAGGCGAGTGCGGTCAAAGAAGGCTTTTCCATTTGTAATGTAGCGTAATCCACTTTCTTTTTCACGCAGACTACATGGACGATTTGTGTGGATCGGCGCACACAGCAACCATCACCGTGGAGTGGCGGGCCTGGAGTCAGCGGTGGTGCTACGAGCCACCAAGCATCACATCGACCACGACTTCAACTGCACAGTGAACGTGACCACAAGGGTGGACCGGAGCCTGCTGTACAGCATCTCTTTCCTGGACCTGCCCATGACGTGCCTGTCCTACCTGGAGGTACTCGCGGACAACTCTGCTTTAGAGCACACTTGGTGCATTCATATGACGTAACATGTTATAGTACAGACTAACAAAATGTGAAAGGCACCGGACGAAGGTTGACATCGTTAGCGGGTATATTCGGGAAAGGGTTTGCATGTCGCCTCTGTTGAAATGTAGTGGAGAGGAATCGGAAACTGCGACACTATGCTCACCAGTGTGAACGCAATTGTATTCTTAGGGTCACAAACAGCGGCATTCTTATGGAATCTAACTACTTGACTAGCACGGATGAACAAAACAAGGGTATGTACTACCCAATGCTTTTCACTGCGTGGTGACCGAGATTTATTATGAGACTAGAATTACATTGCGGTTTTCTCTATAGCGCCACCACACTTTCGCATTTCAGTAACACTTGAGTGAAAGCTTTGTTCATGTTTTAGGTGGGGTTTATTCCGGTCATTAGAAAACTAAGCTGTACAGCAGGAGCTACCCTACTAAAACCATGTTTGGGGAATGAACCTTTTCAGCTGTATCGAAGGGAGGGGCAAGTTCTTGTCGGGCAGCCAAATGCAATCAGTCAGTTCATAGGTACAATAAATAATAAATAAATAAATAAATAAATAAATAAATAAATAATAAATAAATAAATAAATAAATAAATATTATAATCGATTACTCTGTCCATTTGTACAGGTGTAACTGTCTATTTTGATCTACTTCTGCAATGCTATTAATGGCACCTATACAGCTCGAAAGGAGAAGACAGGGCGTTGTATATTCGTGTTTATGAATAGGTCCAAAGGGCATCAGCAAGCACTTCAGCCAATTAGCCCGACATGATTGTGGTGGTAGCGGGGATGATGTTTCCATGGGCGGGATAAGCCTGCAGCCTACCTGGCAGGCAACCACTAGACTTGAGCGACTCTTTTCATGTAGCTCTGCTGCTGGTATGTGTGTTTTTTTGTCACGATTGTCCTGCAAATCATGCACGTGTCATGTTTGTCCTGCAAATCATAGTAATCCCCAAAATAAGGGACCGCTTTTGGGGGTCTTGCGTCCAGTGCAGATGTGGGCGGACCGACGGGACGCGCAACGCTTCTGCCGCAACGTGGATGACCCTCGCGGCAAGGAGGCACACTGGGTGACAGCGCCGCAGCTGCAGGTGCAGTTGGTCACGTCTCGCCACGACTGGAACTACGAGCGCAAGGCCTTCGAGATCGTGCTGACATCGTACAGGCAGAGTGAGCGAAACTTCCGACATCCATTGCGGTATCCATGGTTAAAACAGCGTAAACTGAAACCCGGATGGCAATCCTCTTCGGTGAACTCGTCCGACGTACAAGTGGCTGTCCTGCATCAATGTTCATGGGTCCTGTGCCTGCTTGTTAGGCTCAAATGCATGGATTTACTGTGTATATGTCCGCTGGTTCTGTGTTGACTTGTCAAACCTAGACACGTCACTGTTCTGGGTCTACGCTCGCTGGTTCTGTGTCTACTCGTCGGGCATCCATGGAGGGGCTGTCTTGTGTCTGTGCGCACTACTGCTGCGCCTTTTTTCATTTTGGGTGCTTTCAACTACGTTTACGCACAAACCGGCTCTCATTGTCTTTCAGATGCTATTAGAGAGTTTTAGTACTGCGGAATGGTGCTACGTACGCATCACGCAAGCGCCTTGCGTTACGTGGCGTCATTTGCCACTAATCGGCTTTTAGTACGCCGTAGTACCCGCGTACGCAACGACCGTGAAGCGTGTTGCGTCATCTGGTAGATAAAAATAGAAGCACGTGTTGTTGACAGCCAATGTGAGCCAATCCAAGTGTCATAGCCAGATTATGGCCATATTTTAAGCCACAGAGCCAGTCGGTGCTTGCCTTCAATGCCACCATTTTGCAAAACGAAGTCTCGCGCTGTCGCGAACTTGTTCGAGAGCGGCGCGATCAGCTCATACGTACGCACGCACGCATCTCATGCGTGCGTACGTAGCGGCTGCGTACGTAACGCGATACGTGCGCGTTGCGGTCTGTGCATGCGCACTATGCAGAACGTGGTGTCCTTACGTACGCAGCGCCGCCACGTACGCAGCGTACGCAGTACTAAAACTCTCTATTAAGTCACCACGACTACAGCGCGTGGCGAAGGAAGCCGCCCAGTTAGTCAAACAGCGACTAGACACGTCACGTGAGATCGCTGATGAGGGCTACGCACACATCATTTATGAGGTCACGTTGGCTTAGGCCCCTTGAGCGATTTCAGAGCTTAAAATGTCATAGAAAGTTTTGGCCTTTACGAGCCGACCCCACGATATGATTATGAGACACACCACTGTGGAGGGCTTCAGAAATTTCCGCCATCATTTGTTCTTTACCGTGCAGCACATCGCACAGTACAGACGCTTCCACCAATTCGTCACCATAAACTGAAATGGCCGATATCAAATTATGACCTTCTAGTCAACAGCCGAGCACTGTAAGAACTGTAGCGCTACAGCAGACCAAATTTAAAAGAGGAAAAGCAGGAATTTTAGGGCTCATTATATTGTAGGAAAATGAAAACCAAGGTTTTCATCTTCGAATCGCAAGTTATAGCTCTATACAAAGTCTATTTATGAATTTCTGTTTAATACAGAATTTCAGCTAATACCTTAAAAAATGTGAGAAATGAATTTTTCGACGAAGAGCACGCTACACTGCAAAGTCCAAAGACACGTTGCAAATACTTTCAGTTCAGAACCAAGGATAGTGAACCAGATACGAAGTATACATATGAAAATCCATGAAACTTGAAACACAAAAGCTCAGTGTGTTTCGCTCAATTGGACGTATTTTTAGGTCTCATGAACAAGTGTTACACATTTTGAAGCCATATTCTCTGCACTTATTCGCAATGCAACGTAACTAGGTCGGCAACTTGCTGCTTCAGAACACCGCTTGCGCCCGTGACCTGAAACACAGGTCTCCACACTTGAATGGTGGAACTGATCCCAGAGGCTTCAGCTATTAAAGTAGCTGGTCGCCGTTTTTTTGGACGCATGCGCAGGCCTTCATTTCGACGGCTGCTACAAGGGCGAGTACCAGTGTGGCAACAAGTTCTGCATCTGGCGGGAACTCACTTGCAACAACGAGAACAACTGCGGCGACCTGAGCGACGAGAACTGCAGTGAGTACATGTCAGCACGTGTTTCATCTAAAGGGTTTTTGAAAATATAATAAAGAGGCTGCGAAATGCAGAAAGAAACATTGAGTAAGAATCTTCAACGTAGGGTAAGTTCAGCCCCGAAACGCGCTCTATAAAATGACGTAAGTTCTCACTAATTAACATATGACGTGTAACATGTAGTAATAAACATAGGGTATAGGTTCAGGGGACAGAAGCTTGAATATACGAAAAATTCCTTTGCACGAGGTGTTCGTGGAAAAAACGTTTCGAACAGTAGTCCTGTATTTTGCGAGAGAACATTGCAGAACACAAGGGTTTTTATGACCCGTTACTGTTACACATTCAGTCCTATTACATGTAGCATGTCAGAACATGTAATGTAACATGCGCGAACGAGTAATACGGTATCTTTGAGATACCGCTTTATGTACCAGCTAACACTAAGGAACGAGAACTTTTGGTCTAGCTCATTGACTGTAGTGTAGTACTTTTTCTTTAACGTACCTCGTATAAACACTGGTTTTTCCCCACGTTTTTCCCCACCTTATGGATATTCTTACTGAGTACTGTAGCCAGATGAGTTTGTGCATGCCATTATTTTCTAAGTGACACGATGGTTCAGGGTAACTTGTTCTAGATTAGGTGTATGTGCTCTGTAGAATGGTCTGCATGTTCAAGGACACTTTTAAGCAGTTGTTGACATGCAGTCTTTATTTTATCGTGCATCACGCCTTTATACGTCCTTAAGATAAAAAAGGAGTGCGACTGAAGCAATACAATAGGAATAAAAGCAAGATGTACGCGTGCCTACGTTGTTGCATTTTCGCTAGTTGTATAATTTTTTTTCATGACACAGAGTCTCGCAGCTCACCCAGATATCTATCCTTCTGCGCGCATTTTCTTTATTGCCGTCCCACTTGCGAATACCTTTGCCCAAGTGTGCCTTATCTTTTTTTCTGCTGAGCTATATGAATGTGCACGTGACGGAGATAATATCTATACCCTGAACTCTGACGCAGTGTCGAAGACCCTTGCGGTGGCCGTGACCATCGCTGCTGGAATCACAGTCGTCGTGCTCATCTTCGCCTTGATCGCTTACATCAGAAAGCGTGCTCAAGGGGTACCACATGTAAGCACACAGAGCTTGAGGAATATGGTGATGATACCTTTACGACGAGGCTGTTTACAACTAGTCTTGTGTTGTGTGTGTACGAAATTCGTTAGTGCGGGCGTGTATTCGAGATAGCGGACAAACCGCACCAGTCATGGCTGGTCCACTAAAACTCACAAGGTCCCTTTACCTTCAGCTTAGAACAAACCGAGGATGGTAGCCATCTTTTTATTCTCAGTGGATGCATTGATTCTGCCGCACCACCCTCTGAGAGCTTTCTGCCCTTAACGTTGTCTTACAAGGCCTCCGGGATCGGAGGCACCTTGACTGCTTCTGCACTGCCTCTGCGACGGAACTACCTTTGACGAAGCAAGTACGTTATATGACGTCATGCAATGAACTCATCACGTGATGTCCCATAATTCATTATCACCATGACGTCACGAACTTTGAGGAACGGTGACGTATTCAGGTAATGATGACTTTTTGCATGATTCATGCTGACGACACCGACATGGGACACCAGTTAATTTTTGCGTTTGATGAGGCATCTAAGGTTTTCGCTTTAGGATGAAAAGAAAGAACACACATACATGCGGCAAACACCATTTATGTTTCTGCAACAAACGACAAGCGCACACGGCAAGCCAAGCAAAAACACGCACGTCGCGATAGAATCAGTCACGCTGCTCTACTAAAGAAACATTAAATGTGGAGCATGTGCTAGACTTGAATGAAGAGACTGTTGTTTCTGCAGGGTACATGATCAGTTAAGGTTCGAAAATCTGTTTCTCCCCTGTGCAGCGTGTGACGAACCTGCGCGGATGATTATTTTCCACAGGTTAGAATGGCTTCTTCATTTTTTTTATCAGCATGCCAAACGTACTTGGGAACGAAAGAAGCAACTTGGCGATGTTGTATTTTCTGAAAGTTCCACAAGTGCTCACTACATTTTGTCGTCCTACCAAAGGAACTGAATTCCATAATCAAGAGCGCATAATCAGCATATACACCACTTCCTTTTTGATAGTCGTATCTTAACTGCTAAATCAATATGAATACTGTATGAATACTGTAAGCATATTTACTGCTTCAGTTAGACATTCGCATGTTATAGCAGGGGCCCGAAACTGCCGTGTATGCGCTATCGGCAGCGTGGCTTCTATCACTGGCGGCTGCCGGGCATCCAACTCGAAATAAATAACAAACAGACCATTTCATTCATGACGTCACTGGTGAGGTCACGAAATAGAGGGAAAGGACAAAAACGAGAGGAGGAGGGTTGGCGTAAAAATTATTTTTCCCCACTTCGCATGCAAGCGGAATGTGTTCGTGCCTGATGTCAGGCCAGCTGGCTGCTTGGACGATACGGCCACTGGTAAAGTTTTGTTGATTTTTTTGTATTATGTTCACGAGTTCTGAAGTGGCGAAAGTTAAGGTGACCGATTTCTCAGTTAGAAGAAACTGGATTGACACAACTGAAATGAAACTTTTTATTGCATGTTCTGTATAAAAAAATATCTGCATACACGTAGTGTAGAAGTGTCCATCTATAAAAGCAGCTTTAATTTACGACTGACATATGGACATAAGGAGCAAACATTCAACGCAGAACAACCAATCAATACGAAAATTATCTGCAATCACGAGTAGGACACGTCGTATTTGACTGAGCCATGTTTGTTATGACGACGCACATAGCTAAACTTGAGTACCAAACGAGACTGAAAACGAGACGTCGCTGGAAACTGTCCCTGCAAGCTGTCTAGTCAATCGTCAGATAAGTTCACTTGTCAAAACGTTGGCTCCAGTGACATTATTTGTAAGAATGTCTTAAAGAATTTAGTGCGTCACATGTATTTAAGTGATACTAATAAAAGTAGAGTCACAAAGTTTCAAACCACGGCTACATGATTTTCTAGAACAGGAAAGAGCCTACGATAACTTGGTACATCATTAGAACTACATGCCAGAAGTAAAAAAAAAAGCAAAGACTTTGTTGCCGAGCAAACACGAATTCAAGCCTTTCAATACACGTATTTTGCCGACAGCAGCTTGGATGCCGTCTTCACCAATTAGTCTAGCGACACTGCACTTCTGTCAGCCCAGTCAAGCTTGCTGACAACTGGGTTTACTCATGTAATCGTGCAAAATCGATGCCTGCTCAAATAATGAGTCCAAACACATGTACTCACCCGTCACGATGCCACCTAGAAAATATTTTCAGGCCTGCTCACTGCCGCCATGACGTCACTCATTTTGCCGAGCGAGCACGCGTATGGGAGGCTGCGAATCCATGGCCACCAGCGTCTCCCGCTAAATGATAAAGCGTCCGCGGCGAGTTTTACAAGCTTTACAGCTTTATTATAACTTTTGCGGCAAGAATGCGCTAGTGCGAGCAATGTATTACGCTTGAAAGCATTCAGAGATTTATCTGTGAGCCATTTCTTCCACGAAAAAGTTAGAAAAATTGTGTAGTAGCTTTGAAAGGTTAAAGGGGCCCAGCAACACTTTCTGAGCGTGGTCCAAAAACACTACCAATCGGTTGTAAAGGCTCCCAACAACATGCGAGCCAAATGTTATAGCGCAGCACGCGGCCCAGAATTCACAATAAAACAACAAAATCAGCTAAAAATTGCTGTCTATTCTCTCGACAAATCGCGGAATATGCCCAACAATCACACGTAGCAAGCCCCCCTATCAGCCATTGTGTGATTTGAATACGGCGCGCTCGCTCGTTACAGAGATCGCCGCGGGAGGCCACTACTTGTCCACGCGTGCGCGCGCGATCACACTGAGAAGCCGCGCATTGGAAGAAAAAAAGAAAGAAAAATTGCTCAAGGTCACGAGGCACGCGTAACGTTTTTCTGTGGCCCCGCCATCCCTTCCGGCTCAGCTTCCAGTGCTTTCGTCGGTACGAGAGAAGAGGGAATGCAATTGCAGCATGCGACAAACCTTTGTAACTCCACTCGCAATGAACAGATTCCTAACGTTTTTGCGGCGTTGAAATCGTGAGGCAATAAGCTGCTCCAGTGAATTCATTCCATGGTTACTTGAAAAAGCGTTTCAGGGCCCCTTTATATCATGCGTATCGATCAAGTAAAAAAAAAACTGCACATTCGAACGTGTGGCTGATTTTATTCATTATTTACACACACTCCGCACACACACATTATCTAGAACATGCAGAGAAACTGTTTCTACACATTTGCAATGTTTGCCCCACCGCGGTGGTCTAGTGGCTAAGGTACTCGGCTGCTGACCCTCAGGTCGCGGGTTCAAATCCCGGCTGCGGCGGCTGCATTTCCGATGGAGGCGGAAATGTTGTAGGCCCGTGTACTCAGATTTGGGTGCACGTTAAAGAACCCCAGGTGGTCGAAATTTCCGCAGCCCTCCACTACGGCGTCTCTCATAATCATATGGTGTTTTGGGACGTTAAACCCCACAAATCAATCAATCAACATTTGCAACGTTTCTGTAGTTTTAGTTGTACTCTTTCGAACATCTGTCTTCGTAGACACGTATAATCATTGAGGAGAGTGTGTGCTGCTGCCACGAGCATGTTATTCAGCACAATATCAGAGTGATGACCACCGCAAGAGAAAACAAAATCTTCGTTTCACAAACATGTCTTGAGATGGACTCGCGGAGGGGCGTTTCTCTTTTGCACTGGCCCCTATCGCAGTGGCACATAGTCGCTCCATTAACTTAGGTCTTGGGAAAACTGTTAGTACTAGATCTAAGTTGACCCTTGCAGCCCCCGTGGGTGCTTCTAGTGCACTGATGGTCTTCGGATCACTATATTTAGTAGTTTTCTAAATATTCTATCTTGAAGTAGCGCTCACACACCGG